CTCATTCATTCAACTCAGTCAAGTTAAGCTCAGTTAAGTCAAGCTCAGTCACAGTCAACTCAAACCTCACTCACTCATCTCAGTCCACTTAGCTCACTCAAGTCCAGCTCAGTCACAGTCAACTCACACCTCACTCACTCATCTCAGTCCACTTAGCTCACTCAAGTCCAGCTCAGTCACGTTAAGCTCAGTCAAATCAATCTCAGTCACTGGCAACTCAAACCTCACGCTCAGCTCAGTCAACTCGCCTCACTTCAGTCAAGCTCAGTCAAAGTCAACCCAGCTCACTCACTCAGCTCAGTCAAGTTAACCTCAGTCAGAAGTCAGCTGACTCAGGTCAACTGAGCTCATTCACTCACTGAAGTCACGCTCGGTCAAAGTCAAGTCAAGCTCATTCACTCACTCCAGTTAGGCTCCGTCGAGTTAAGTCGAGCTCAGTCACTTAGCGCAGCCAAATTAAGCTCAGTCGGCAGTCACCTCACTTCAGTTATCTTTGCTCATTCACTCATTAAAGTCCACATTACTCACAGTCAAGTCAAGCTCAGTCCACTTCACCTCAGTCAGCAGTCCACTCACTCAAGTCACGCTCACTCAATGTCAATTCAGCCCCATTCGCTCATTTCAGTCAACTTCACTTCCACCAATCATCTCACTTCAGTCAGCTTAGATCAACCACTCTCAATCAAATCCATCTCAAACTTCAGTCAACTTCAGTCACTCGACTCAGTCTAGTTACATTCAACTCAGTCCCTTCATTTCCCCTACTCACTTCACCTCCAATCAACTTATCTCACCTACCACAGCTGAACCATCTTACATCAATCACACAACTCAGTCAACAACATTCACACAGACCACGTACGCTTGCTTAACTTATCACTTAAGGCTACCTACCTACGTACACCACCTGCGGCTACCGGACATCTGGGCTGAATCACGTCCGGCTCGACACAAAATGGGATCACCTCAATCCCGGCTCGACACCAACTGGGATCACCTCAATCCCCGCTCGAGACCAACTGGGATTACCACCATGTACCACCAGCACCAACCACCAACGTAATATCTACTACCAACACGAGAT